TTTTAAAATAAAAATAACTAATAATTTAAATAACCTAACCTAACCGTGAGAATGGTGACTTGAGTATCGGATGTAGTGTAGGTAGGTACCTACACTTTTGACACATCGCCATCACGCATTATACCTATATATGGCTATATGAGAAATATAAATAATAATGGTAAATACCAATTTTTAATTATGTGTTGTGTTTAATTTTTTTTCCTCAGAACCAATTTTTTTGATAAAATCCATCAGCCATGCCGGACAGAGATACCAACTCCTCGATGAATAGTCACGACGATACTTATAAGTGTTCGCTAGGCAGCGACGACTTCATACTCGTAGAAGAAATCGTTTCCGGTCGGAAAACGAGCACCGTGGAAACCGTGCAGGGAATTTGTTTCTGTGTGAAGCAAAAACTGTGTCGGACAGTGGCTATGAAGAACGTGCGGCGTAGGGTACCGATATTGAACTGGTTACCATGTTACTCGGTCCAAGACGGACTCGGTGACATCATGTCCGGCGTGACTGTCGGGTTGACGGTCATACCGCAGTCGATGGCGTATGCTGGGTTGGCTGGTCTGCCGCCGCAGTACGGTCTTTACGGTTCGTTTCTGGGCACTTTCATCTACACGTTCGTCGGCAGCTGCAAGGACGTGCCCATGGGACCGACGGCCATCGTGTCGCTGATGACATATAGCACGCTTCACGGCTACGGTCCAGAGTACGCCACCCTATTGTGCTTCCTCACCGGCGTCATACAGCTGGCCATGGGAGTCTGCGGTCTGGGCATAATCATCGACTTCGTGTCCGGCCCCGTGTCGTCGGGTTTCACGTCCGCTGTCGCCTTGCTGATCATCGCTTCCCAGATAAAAGACCTGATCGGTGTCCACGGCACCGGGTCCAGTCTGTGGGAAATGATGTGTTCTCTTTACAGGGACATCGACACGATTAGCTACGGCGACACGGTCATCGGGGTCGGGTGCATCGTGTTCCTGTTGGTGTTGCGGGTCATCGCCGAGGTGCGTATCGGCCCTGCAGACCCGGGACAACAGAGCTGCGTCCAGAAATACACCAACAAAAGTTTCTGGCTGATTGGATCGATCAGAAATTCCATAATCGTCATCAGCTGCACCGTCATGAGTTACATGTTCATAAGCGCTCAAGACGAGTCGTTCAAGCTTCCTTACAAGATCATTGGAACGATTCCGGCGGGTCTTCCGGAATTTCGTCTGCCCCAGTTCACAATGCAGCGCAACAACGAGACCATAGGTTTCTTCGACATAATGTCCACTATGAAGTCGAACGTGGTCGTTTTGCCGCTAATTGGTCTGCTGGAGAACATATCTATTTGCAAGGCATTCGCCAACGGTAAGACCGTGGACGCTACCCAAGAACTATTGGCCATTGGTCTATGCAACATCGGAAATTCGTTCGTGCAAAGTTTTCCGGGATCGGGGTCGTTTAGCAGGAGTGCTGTGAACAACGCCAGTGGAGTGCGAACCCCCTTGGGTGGATTGTACACATCGATTCTGGTGATCGTGGCTCTGTTGTTTTTGACTCCATATTTTTATTACATACCCAAAACCTGTCTGGCAGCGGTTATCATAACGGCAGTGGTGTTCATGGTGGAAGTGAGAGTCGTCAAACCGATTTACCGTTCGAAGAAAAGCGACCTGATCCCGGGGATGTTCACCTTTTTCGCGTGCCTGTTCTTGCCTTTAGAGATTGGAGTCCTGTTCGGCATAGGGCTGAACCTAACTTCAATTTTGTACCACGCGGCTAGACCCAAAATATCCATACAAGAGTACAAGACTCGCGCCGGTTTCAAGTATCTAATGCTAACTCCAGACAGGTGTTTGGTATTTCCGTCGGCCGATTACGTCCGTAACCTGGTTACAAAACACAGTCTCAAACGGGATATGCCGGTAGTCATAGACTGTTCCCATGTGTATGGAGCTGACTTTACCGCCGCTAAGGTCATCGAAATGCTAACCAAAGATTTCTCAGACAGGGGACAGGCTTTGTTTTTTTATAACCTCAAGCCTAGTGTGGTCGATGTGTTTAGAGGCGTCAAACCAAAGGAATTGGTGTTTTACTACAATAAAAAGGAATTGGACCGACTACTACAAAAATCGACTGAACAGCGCCACACAATGTTACAGCCGTTGCTACAGAAAAAGTGAATGGAATTTACCTAATTTCCCACCCTGAAATTGAAATAGCTTTGACTATTTTGAATTTTTGTTTTTTTTTCGGTGGGGAGGGGACATAGATATGACCATACCGTACATAAAGTGATTATATAATACACCTATGTTAAATGTTGTAGAAATGTAGTACCTACACTGTACACATGCATAAATACATTAACCTGTAAGTCCAGTAAGATATATTATAAATCATTTTATAATATTATAGTGTCCTGGACTTGTCATAAATCATAATAATATGTCAAGGAATGGTTTTGAAATTAATAATTTTTATGTACCTATCATAGGTAACCCATGTATTTCTACTTTCTAGTTAGGTTATTGTCATAGGAACCGTCAATACAGGTGACTTGGAATGATTTTGACCTCTTAACTAGTTTAACACATTCATTATTGATAATTAAATTCTGTAAAAAATCATGCAGTCTCGCACAACTCTAAGGAATAGATTGAGCAAAAAAAATAAATTAAGTTCTTAAGTAAATTAAGGAAAAAATAAAATAAAAAGTGCTTGTTTCAAGTCACCCGGAGTTTTGGGTGACTTGGAACATGAGGGTTTTTAAATGGCAGATTGCATTTAATCATTTGTGGAGGGTCACTTGGAACACTACAATTATTTGTAAAAAAAAAGTGTTAAAAACCATATATTTTTTTCATTTATTAACATAATTTTTAAAACTAGGTACCTATTTATTACCAAATAATACTTTTTTTTATAAGTTACAGTCTTTGCTCCTAAAATAAATTTAACCAACATATTTATATAACTGAACTTAGTATACGAAAAAAAAAAAATTTCCAAAAATTTTGGTACCATGAATATAGCGCCAATTTGTGCCAATACTTGTCTACATTTACAAATACAATATAGGTAGTGGCCATTTATTGACATAGATCTCTATTTACTACTTACTACTTAGCCACGTTATAGCTTATAAGTTCTTGCCCATTAGTTTTCATAAATTATGTTTCTATCGACCAACTTTAGGTTACTATTCAACAGTTAGACCCATTACTAAATCCTTAATCTTTAGTTGTATAAAAACTAAAATTTGTTTTAATTCTCAAAGCTTCCCATTATCTGCTAATATTGTATGTACATAATATGATTAAACGTAAAATGCACTATGCAGTGGCGGCGTGCATTATTTATTTCCTATGAAGCAACCACCTTAAATAAGTACCCACTAACCACACACCAATTTTTTCACATTTTCCACTTATCTTTTCACACATTTTAAACGCAGGTTATATGTGATTATGCGAGTATAAATTATAAACTAGTCTAGCCATCTAGGTGACTGGAGTCTTTGGGATACCCATTTACTCTTTTCCATGAGGCAGCCATCACATAAAATAGCTATTCCCGCCGCCACTGGTAACATGTTCCAATTAATAATTGTACCTGTTAATGAATAATACTATTTTGGTTTTTGGGTTATTGTGTATAAACTATAAACTAAATATATATTATAATCTCAATGTTAGTTTTAGTTATAATCTATAACTTTAAATTAGTTATACATTTCTAATTTATAACCTTGTTAAATATTAAGTTGCATTGTTGTTGTTTAAATTATGTATTAGCTTGTAACAAAAAATGTATCTATTCACCTACCGAAACTTAAGTATAATAATTCAAATAAGATTTCATCCACCAAGTTCAAATTGTTTATTTTGAATTATAATAATATACTAGTTTTTATTTTACAATAATCAAAGGTTATAAATTAAAACTAATAAGCTTACAAAGTTACAACACAAATAAGTGGTCACATGTAGAAACAAAGAATAATAAATAAATACAAAATTGACTAGATTATACATTTGTGTAGGTTTCTATTAGGTAAATACAATTTTTAATCAAATATGAATTTCAGTTCATTATATGTTATGATTGCAGTAGGTATATGGTTAATATTTTTTTATGGAGTTTATAGAACTTATTGAATAATATTGAATGGTTGACATAAAATAAAGATTATATACATGCTTTATTTTTAATTCGGTTAAAATAATTATTTTATTTTTAATTAATTAAATTATAATTGTTGTTCCTACTTATGTTTCTGTTTTACATTTAGGATGATTTGTAAACTTAAATTAACCATTATTATTTTAATTAAATTTCTGACTCAGTCTTTTATTTTTTTTGTCAACTTTAAATATATTCAAACAGATTTTTAATTTGATTTACTAAAAAAATCTATTAATGAACAATAAGCCTCACACAATAAAAAAAAATTAGAAAGTTCCGAGATTAATAATTGTAATATAAACTAAGCATTTAAAATCAATAATAATGGATAATAATATCATGCATTTATATTTTAAAGAAACACTTAAGGTTAAAATTTATATTGATAAATAAACTGCAGTATTGAAACATGCGTGTGGTTAAAATAATTTGTGAAAATAATGATAAAAATGAACAAACTTTTTATAGCCCTTCATTTAAAATAAAATTCAACATTCATTTGAAGTTTTACAAACTGGAAAATACTAAATTCAGTATCTGATTTATCAATAAATTACATGTAGTAGATCATTATACATAATTGATTTAACAGTCAAATAGCCAATAGAATTAATATTTATAGTATATAATGTGGTAGGATTTATATATTGGAACTCAATGTAATCTTAGGTATTTCTATAAATTAAAATTTATAATTTTGTATGTGTACATATATAAACATGAATAATATGTATATAAATAGTTATTTTATGTCTTATTTATTGTTTTTACTTATTTATTCAACATCTGTTAATAAATCAATACGTTTGAATATTTGAATGAGTAGCTTATTCTTTCTTCTCATGATGAACATCTAAAAAATGAAAAATTATGTTGATTAAACTTGTAAAAGTATCATCAAAACAGTCAACATGGATCTAAAATATATGCATTGTTAAGATAGATGGATACATATTTAGTTTTAATTTGAGTTAAGTTAAGCAGCCTTAAACAAATCTAAATAAATATTTGTTATTATTATTAAAACTGCATTTAATCCAAACTGAGCACCAGCCAATGGATAAGCAGACGACACTTGGTCACAATAAAAAAAATAAATGAAATAATACAGCACATTGATGCATTTTATAAATTGGAACAAAAATACTAAATATGTATTATTTGAAAGACTAAATAATATCATTAATAAAACAAGGTGAAATAAAATACAAAAATATTATTATATAAAAAACAAAATCAAATATTAATTGTAAATAATAAAAAAAGGAAATTATTTACTAAAAATGGTTTTCAGATTTAAGCTTTAGCAATGATTACATACAATTGGAGTTATAATAATTTTAAAAGGTAAGTAATTTTTAGACATACCATCTTCATCATCATCACTAGCATCCATAATGTCTGTGCAACATGTAGAATAGCATATTAATAGTAGGAACCCTATAGGTAATCCAAATAAAACACTAGCAACTGCAGGATTGTTAACCCAAATGTTTACTAAGGACTTCTTTGTCTCATAATACATCCTGTACATCTGTATAAATACACCACTTCCTCCATATGCCTATTTAAAAATATAATTAATTAATTATTTGAATATTAAATTAATTGTATTCATATTTAAACATCAAAGAATAAATAACTACCATACTGTATCATAATTAAATTGCATTTATAAAAACATTAGTTATTATTACCTTTACTGACTGATTTCTTACAGCTTCTAGAAATAAAGTAATTGATTCAGGTGTCAGTTCATGTGGTTTTTCTTCTGGAAAATGATGATGTCTAGTAGATGAATTATAAATTATTAAAGATGGCAGGGTTACATCTGATGAAGTAATAGAATTGGCGAATTCTGGTGAACCAATCCATCCAAATTGAAAGTTCCTAAAAAGTAATATGATTTAAATAACTAATTACATCTTAAATGCATATATATAATGTTACCTATGAAAACGTTCTCTATTCTTCACAATAACTGATTCTACCATTTGAAGAAACCTAAGAAAGATGAATAATTAATATTTTCAATTTTGATGGTACAATATATTTTTAATAAATCCATAGTAAATATTTGATTTTTTTTTTTTTAATTTTAAGTTTAATATAAATACTTACTCAAAAACATAACAGTATAACAAATATTTTTATTATAAAATCAAATCTTGGCAATAACTTTTCCCAGTGGAAACCAACTCAGATAATATTATAATACAATATATTATATATAATATAAAATAATGGGAACCAATAGCCAATTAACAATATTTTTAACATTATTCATACTTACTCTGAATGGTGAGGAGGTAACTTTTCAATTTTATTCTCTTCCACTAATGCTAAGACTAAGTACTTGTTGGTCTCCAACATATGGTGAATATTTGATCGAGTTACTTTTACAAAAGTATCAAATCTTTCTGTGTTTATCCATTGTGTCAAGCTTGTATTGAAGTCCATATCCCATTCCTCAGCTAATATTAATTATAACATAATAAAAACTTTTCAATGTTTAATCATAACTCATTTACCATTGAAAGAGTAGTGTTGTTCTTCTTTATACACCACAACTGCAGGAGTTTCTCCAAAAACAAAATGCTAAAAATAAGCATTTATATAATATATACACAAGGTAGGATGGATGTCATTAATCATGCAATATTTCTTCATTTATCATCCACATATTATGATGTCGAACCAATTAAGAAGTTTATTTACAATATTAATATTATTTACAGAGCCGTGTCAAGCAATTCAGCGCTCTGGGGCAATGCCCTACAATTTGGGCCTCAGGTAGCATATTAAGCGCAAATAAAGGCGCCCCTTACTTTTACAAAACTATGGCGCCCGGAGGAAATTGCCCCCTTTGCCCCCCCCCTTTAAGACGGCTCTGATTATAAATCAATTGGTAAATACCTGTTTTCCAGTTATTTCAGGTGTAATATAAAAATAAGAATGTGCTTGATATTGTTTTGCCAAATCATAAAAGAGGTCCTGGGAAAATAATATACAATATTTAAACAATTTATATTTTATTCGAATTATAAAATTATCAAGTACCCAAGTATGGCCAACGCTTTTTCCAATAAACATAAAGAAGTTTTTATTTGTTTGTTTGAGCATTTCAATGTCTTTACTATCAGTGACCTCTTGAACGGGAGGACGAGCCAATCGCTTTGCAAAATGAACCATTTCTTCTGTAGATCGCTCACTATTAAATTTAAATTCACCTTCTCTATCTCTGAAGCTATAGGTCAATACAAAATATAATTATTAATATCACAAATACTGAACTACAAAGTGACGATTACAGATAAATTGATAACATACAACATTATTGTAGGATACCCTGACAATCCAAACTCTGAAACTACTCTTTTATATCTTGTACAATCTATTTTGCCAACTCTTATATCAGAGTGGTGTAATGCTTGTGCAACATGACGCCAGATAGGTTCTAACCTCTTACAATGGCCACACCACGGAGCATAAAACTTGAAACAAACATTTGATAACAATTAAAATAGTTGTAAGTTTTAACTTATAATTAAGTATTACTAGTTGAATAAAAAACAATATAGACATTGACGGACAGTACTGCTATAGCAGTTTTATGAAAATGTTATGTAGTAAATTGAAGAATTGTATAATATGACATTACAGCTGTAGCAGTAATATTTTCAATGGTATCAGATTATAGAAGACATTAAACTGCCACACTGTGTTGCTTTAGATATTGGGGCACCAGTGGCGTAGCCAGAATTATGAAATGAGGGGTGTTCAAGTATAGATTAAAACCAAGTTTTTACAGTTTTTTCGTATATAAAAAAATATAGGGTTAGGGACTTGACTTGTTGCACTAAACATTATCGAAATATTCAGCCAAGATGTTCAAAATAAGCTTAAATATATGCAGCTGCATTTTTATATTATTTTTGAAAAATTCATAAAACATATTACAATTTTTGTAATAAAAAACTAAAAAATAAGTAGGAATATAAACATGATAAAAATAATTTAAGCACGGGTATACAAATTTTAATATAGGTAGCTATATTGATTAATATGATGGACAGAGGACACTATTGCATGTTTTGGACATTTTTAAACTATTGTGAAATAAAACTTGATTTTTAAAAATAATAGCATAAAGTACTAGGTTAATAATTAAATAAGTAATAACGAATAAAGTGATATGCTAACACCGTGATAAACGGACACGTATGTACTGATTTTCATTTCTTCGTACAATCAGCTAGAATCTAGATGTCAATTATAGTTTTAACACAGTATTGTCACAAAGAGGCTTATAAAATCATACGTACCATATGCAAAAATAGGGCCAACCGTAGCCAAGCTCCACCAATAACTTTAACAGCCCTCCCAAACATAAACTAAATTTTTTTAAGCTTATTCAATTTTATAATAGTATGATTTTAAGCTTCGATTTTTAACTACAAAATAATTATTCAATTTTAAATTTGATAAATTTCGTCTACATTTGAACTTTAAATGCTTTTAAAAAAAAAAACTGTGACTAAGGATTTTTAATATTTTTCAAACGTCGTTGTAACAACATAATAATAGCTTTGTATTAAATTGTCAAGCTTTTTTACCTAACAAATAAAGTTTTATTGACATTAATAGAAAAATAACCTAAAAAACTTGAAAACTGAGTATATCAGTAAACAGCTCAAAACAAATCAAAATATTTTGAAAATTTTTTCAAGTATAGTAAATTCTAATATAAACATTTAGTGAAAATTTCATGTATTTACGATCATCCGTTTTAGAGTTACACCAAAAGCCAAAATCGATTTTGTCAAAAACCAATTTTGCGTAAAAATTCCCGTTTTTCATTAATTTTTATTTTGTTTTTCCGGGCGCTTTTGAAAACTATTGGGAATTTTAAATTTTGATCTCCCAAAAGTACCAACTACTGCAGTCCTGTAAAGTATTTGAGTAAAAGTATTCAAATACTTTTTTAAGTATTGAATAACTTTTTAAATACTTTCAGCATGAAGTATTTTGAATGGTATTTTAAATACTTTTATTTGTATTGAATACTTTTTGGTATTGAATACTTTGGTTTTTTATTTCGAACATTTTATTTTTATTCGAAATAATTTTAGAAATTTTAGAATGAATTAAGAACACAAAATAGGTAGTATCACCAATGGGTGGTTTCTTCCCTCAAAAAAAAAAAATCATACGCAAATACCCTATGCACATTTGCTTATTGTTCTAGTTAAGAACAGATTGTAAATTTCATGTAAAAATAAAAAAAAAAATGTAATAAACATTTATTTAATAAATAATAAATAAAAATGATTATAAATTTACTACCTATGTGTTTATATTACAATAATAATTAGAAACCCACTTTAAAAACCAAAAGTTTTTGAAAAGTATTCCAAAAGTATTTGAAAAGTATTCCAAATACTTTTTCAAAGTATTTGAGTAGTATTTGAAATACTATACAATTAAAGTATTTGAGTAGTATCTTAAATACTTAAAAAAAAATGTATTTGAGTACTTACTCAAGTACTTTTCCAAAGTATTCTTTACAGGTCTGCGGCAACTAGATTCATTTTCCCATCAAACAAGATACTGAATTTGATAAACGAAGCATTATTTCGATAACTAATCATGTACACAGACACAAAAATAAAAAACACACATCATTGTAAAATCAATACATTCATCGTTCCACTCAGAATCTAAAAATTCAAAATATGCACAAATATGCCGAAAATCGCTCAAATGTACAATTTTCTCACAATATGCAAAAATATGCAAATTCAAACTTTGTTTGATGAGACAAAAAATTTTCATGAGACAAATTTATAACTTATCTAAAATAACCTACTACCACTACAATAAAACATGCAAGTAGTTTCAAACCCTATAAACAATATATTTATTAGGGGGGAATTGTCAATGTTTAAACACACAAACCCCCCTACATATTTCAAAGAAAATTATATCAATTAATAATAAATGTTCTATTTTAAGATTTTTGGTCTATTCGTTGGTTTGTCGTTTATTTTATCAACACCGATAAACTGATACGCAGTATGTAGTATATAATATTGCGTTGAGTAATCACAGAACAGTATGATCAGTAAGTATAGCGTTATATAGCAGTTTCAATGTACATACACACTACTGCTATAACTTTAACAATTTTATTACTGCCATAGCAGTAATAAAAGTGTGTTATATTGGCCGGTTTTGGAAATTTAAAAAAATGGTAAATGTCCGTCAATGTATTAATAGAAATGTTATAATTTAATTGTAAATTATTCATGATTACCATTATGAACCAATGTCCATCGTTTTTCATTTCAATGAACCTAAAAAAAATATGAATTATTTAATATTAATCGGTACACAATATAGTAGGTATGCAATAATAATTATTAATTACTAATTACCCATCACTAAGTTCCAATACTCTTGATGAACGTACGTCTTTTAGTAGAATAACAGATACTAAAACATTATAATAATTGTAAATATTAAGCAATTTAAACTATACAAGTATAACAATATATTGTATTCATAACAACACTGAAACATAGTTAAATCCTTAGAAAGTTTTTTTCAAATGCCACAATTATTAGTTTTATTATCAAACATTCAAATGTCAATGAAGTAATTGTTTTATGAAGAGTTTTTTCTGTTTATTTTTGTGTATATTCAGAAATGTTAAATCATTAGATTAATAAAAGCTAAAAAGCTAAAATGTTTCCTCCATACATAAGGTGCTTTATGATGATTTATTAATTGATAAACTAAAAAAAATATAATTTTTCAATCATGGCCAAAATTGAAGTGGACATATTTAGAAATATTTGACATCCTTCTAATATATTTAAGTCAGTTTAGACTTGAATCTTATCAATTTCAAAGGAACTTTAGTTGGACTCCAGGCATTTTATTTAAAATTTCTTTAATGGTTTTAACCACTTAAATAAATTGGATCATCATAAGTGCTATGTATTCGTATGTGAATAAATATTACTAACTATCAGTATATTTTAAATAAATAAATGAATATTATATCTTTCTTATTATGATTTTAAAGGAAAAATTGAAAGATAAATAATAATGCATGATTATTGTTATTTGAAAGTTTTCTTTTGATAAAATAATCAATATCTACCAAATGCTTCATAAAGATGTATATTTCAAAACAATACATAGGTAGTATTGTGTTAGAAGATAATATAATTTCTAAAATGTTAAGACTTTACAATGTTATGAATTAAGTTAGAAGTTACAAATATATGAGTCTTGATTAACTCAAACCTGTATTATGTTTCACACTTTTCTAATTTCTTATACCTAAATAATAATAATATCAGTAAGTAACACTTACCAATAAAACCCAGAGAAAGAATTGTAGTTAATATATTAGAGATCATCATTTTTGTACTATATTTCTATTGTAAAAAATTGTATATAAATGTATTGTTTATTTATTATACTACTTAGTTCAAAACTAAATGTTGTTTAGTATATTATTTTAAAGTCAATTGCATTTACAGACATTTTACAGATTTCACAGATTTCTCAAATTATGTAGATAATTATAAAAATGTAATATGTATATATTAGTAAAATAATTTAAAACTGAAATTTAAGTAAAATCGTTACATAAGTACATAACAGATCACTGTTGAGTATTGACATAATAATTAACTAATAAGTGGAAATAGAAAAGTACAACTTAGTAGGTACATACTATATAGGTGTTTACTGTTTAATGTTTATATCACGGACTAAGATATACAGGACTGGACACGACAAGGTTGGAGGGTGTGGGGGGGTTGACTACGAAATGTTTTACAACAGGCAGTGTTCGGGGGGATATTTTCCTTTTAGCATTACTAGAGCCGTCCTAGTGGATACTTATGGAACTAGAACACATCATACAAATTTCTAGTTCCATAAGTATCCACTAAGACGGCGCTAGTTATGCTAAAAGGAAAATATCCCCCCGAACTCCGCCTGTTGTAAAACATTTCGTAACCACAATATTCATCTCGTGTCCAGTCCTGTGTATCTTAGTCCGTGGTTTATATAATTATCTGTTATCACTTATCAAGTTATCACCAAAGTCAACAGAGGGACTTTGTAAGTTCATACCACGGTAAGAGAATAGAACAATATAATACAGAAATGACACTCAGCTGAACCTCCAAGAAACACGGAAACAAACAGCTGCACGCCCGGGCTAGAGAATTTATTGCCCACAGATTATTGTATAATATTATATTATTTATATTGTTGTATTATAATATACGAGTATAACCTGTGGTACTGCCATTGTTTTGTGTTACTACAGAATACAATCTGTTGTACTATTGTTCTATGGTAGTACGAGGTCAATGGTTATTATTATAACGTGATAATTGAGATTAAACTGTGATAAGGATACCGGGTTTTTAGACTTTTAAAAGAAGTATGCTCTGACATTTGCTCTGTGGTAGACTGGTATTAAAGACAGTTGTACAGTATTCCACGAGCCCCGGTCGTTCAGTTTATGCTTTTATGAGATTAGTACTTTAGACTTTAGTATTTGGTATTTACAAATTACAACTTATCTTACATTCATAATTCATCGTTCATATTATATTTGATTTCTTTCAACAAAATTGAGCAGTCCTGTTTAAACTTGAATAATATTTTCCACAAAAATGATTAGAATTATTAAAGTAACTAATCGCATCTGGGGAAATGTAAATCATGCTCAAAGGTTATCGTCGAATGTCTTGCGTTTTTCTATTTCTGCTGTTAAAGGTAATAATATGCTTGTAATTTATACTTCTCTGTAAATTGTTGTTTTAAGAGTGAATGTTTACCTAAAACTTTCATTTTTAGATCGTTATTATACTGACAAACATGAATGGATTGATGTGAAAGATAATATTGGTACCATAGGAATTTCAGATTATGCTCAAGTAACTATTTAAAAGATTATATATTTTATAAAATATATTTAAGAAATTTTCCTAAAACCCTTTCTAAAACCTTCTAATACATTGTATAGTACCTAATTAGTTAATTTTCTACTAACTTCTTGAAAATGAGAAATTATTGTTAGGAAGAAAATATTTTTTTTAAATAGAAAATATTATTTACCTACATATTGGTTTTTTTTTTTTTGAAATGAATAGACCAAATGATTTCTCTTTTTTTTTGTATAATTCAAATTGATTCTGTTCAGTTGTCAACATTTTATTTTAATATTTTGCACTGTATAGTAATTCATTGGGTAATATAACAAAAATGTAAATTATATAAGTGTAAAAGTTCAAAACATAACCTACAGAGGTTATCAACAACTAGAATAATTTCATCAATTAAAATATATTTATCATTTTAATTTATGTATCAAAATTGCTATGTTTATAAGTATTATGATTAAATTAATTAGTAGATATACGTCATAATGAATAAAGAGTGAATTATAATGTAAAATGAGTACAACAATTCTAAAGATTACATTAGAATTGTATGCAATTTCTATCTATGGACATACCTAATAACTAGTTACCAGTTTTGGGTAAGTTACTTTTATAAGCTTACAAAGTTACTTATAAGTTTCAAAATTTAAAAGTATTTAGTTTACTTATTCGTCACCAAAATACAAAAACAATAGCGCTTTATTACTTTTTAACAGTAACTTTACTCTATTCAATGAGAGAACACCAATTCTGCTCATCCCTATACAACACCCTACACCTACTATAGTAGAATATTGGTCTCAATGGCCTGGTGTAGTGTAGGTTAGGTAAAATTTTTTTTTGTATTGTGGAGGTTTTTCTCGCTGGACAGAGGATAGTTACGATGATGTTATTTACAACATTTTGATAAATTTAAAACCAAATAACATAAAATGCCAACATTTTAAACATATAATTTATACAAGTTCACATTTAACTATATTCTATTTAACACATTCACTGCGTCAAATAATTAGTTGGGACACGTTAGATGCGTCACAAAATATATCAATGTTCGCTAGGAGGACATTTTAATTAGTGTCGGAAAAATCAACAAAATAAGTTATTTATAAATGGATTGGACTGAAATAACGAAAACATTTCTATGCAGAGGCGTGTGTAAAAAAAAAAACATTACTCTAGTGCGTCTCTATTTTATAGCACATTTAATTCAACGGACTTGATGTCGGCTATATCCGACAGACGCACCGTGAAAAAACCGATCCGTCTGATATAGCCGACAAACGCACCGAATGTGTTAATAATGAACTTTCAAAATTATTTTCACTTATTCCCGATTATTTTTTGATCCAAATATCCCCAATTATATTAAAAAGGCTTTCTACATAAGCTCTTGGAAGGACCAATATATTCATTTATAGAAACATTAGTTCTACCATTGGTAAACAATTAAATATTTTTAAATATCCTAAACAAAGAGAATATTATAAGAATGCTAATTTTCAGCACAACCGCTCATTACGCATTAACTTTAAATTTAAACAATTCAATTAAAATCAATTTTTTTTCTTTACAGATCTGATAAAAATTTAACTCGTTTTTTTAACAAAGATACTTATAAAATAATTAACATAGTTATTATTGAATTACTTCAATTAATAAAAAATAAAGTTACCTTAACGTTACTTGAAAATATAAATATTTTATGGTACTACTCAACATTGCTAGTTATTATGTCTATGTTTTAGACCTGCCATTTTTTCAATATTTGTTGTTTAGTAAGAACTCATTCATGGCCCCATAAGAATATGTTTAGGAACTTATAACTTTTATTACTAAGTACTAACGAATTATGAATGTGAATGTATATTATCTATAAATATAATTTGTAATATTTAATAGGTTATCTATATAATATACTAATTGGGGATTTTATTTGTACTGAAACATTGTATTATTTTAAGTGAGGCATTGCACTTTAATATAATTTTTATATTTTTATTCGATAAATTTATTGTAAGAAAAATGCTAATTTAATATAATGATATCATTTAATACTAATATATTACTAATGCTTGATTGTTATAAAGTGTTATAAAATATGTTGATGACTAGATTATGTTGCATATTTTTATTATTTTTACTACTATTTATTATTGAGATACTTAACACTTATCATTCATATTATTATAATGTTATTTATTTTTAATTTTTGGTGTTAAGACTTAATAGTTCATAATACTAAAATTGGATTAGGTAATTTATTTTATATTATATAGAAATCTAATATATAGACACATTTACTATACATAATGTTTTTTATAGATAGTTTACTTATCATTTGTATGCTGTTTTAGGATGCTTTAGGTGATGTAGTTTATGCTGAGCTGCCTGCTGTTGGAACAGAAGTAAAAATAAAAGGTATATAGGTACTATATGTTATATTAATCACTATATGTATGCAATGAGGTGAAACTTATAACTTATAAGTGCCCTGTCCGATATTTAATCCAATTCAGCTTTTATTTAAAAAAAATTGAAAACACCCTTATTAGAACATTTTTCATACATATAGATGTAAGTAAGATTGATGTTAAAATTGTCATAAAAAATCTATGACAGGTAAAATATTTTTTTTAAAACTTCAAATCTAAGGGACTGTTAAAGTTAACCCACTTAACCGTTTAAATTAATTTTGTGTTTTGTGATGCTACCCAACTCCATCTTAGAAATATAAAACATCAAATTTGAGTTCTCAATTATTATTACATATTCAAATGTGTGTAACTACATAAAAACAATTATATTAAACTTTGATGTCAGTTTCTCTCTATAACTTACTTATATTATACACTTTTTATAGAAGAATGTGGCGCATTAGAGAGTGTAAAAGCTGCAAGCGAACTATACAGTCCAGTATCTGGTAAAGTGATTGAAATAAATTCTCAGGTGGAAACAAAACCAGCATTAATAAATCAATCTTGTTATGAAAATGGTATAGTATATTTAATTTTCTATTCAATTTTATAATTTTGTAATTTTAATCATTCATTTTGTAGGATGGCTTTTCAAATTAGAACTATCATCTCTGGAAGAAATACCGAATTTAATGAATGAAGAACAATATGCCGAATTCATTAAACAGGATCACAGTTAATGCTAAAGTAACTGATTATCTGTTAGACAAAATTAACTAAGTATAGAATATTATTAATTGTTTTAAATTGATTAATACTTTATGTCTTACAAGTACCCCAAGTATATGTGACTTCTGTATTTTTTATTTTTTTTGTTATTGATTTACTTAAGTTGTATGCATTTATTTAAAATGTAAACCTATTTTTTTAAACTTTTATTCAATAAAAAGATGTATGAATTAAATATTGTTAACAACTAAATTGTTATAAGCCATAACTGTGCACATGCTTTACTGGCAGGGTAGGCATAAATAACACATTAACATACACACACACACACACACACACACACACACCAGAGGCATGTTCAGCAGGTGGCCCTGGGCCTACCCTGATTTTGAACCCTTATAATATATCCAAAATATACACTTTTAAATAAATAATTTTAAATTAAAAACAAGAAATTGCTCATTCCTTTTTTGTATTAACAATTACAAACCAAACAACCATTTATATGATAAAAATTAAAAAATGTATAACATCAATATTAATTATTCAATAATATTATGATTGATTGTACATTTAAAACAAATTATTAAAATTCCATTAAAAAAACTTATATTGTTCAAATGGTCCTTATAACTTGACCTGTTCTTTTTTTTTATCCTGGACATGATTCTGACACACACCCACACATAAATATCCTTATTCACCACTAAGTTATAAAATCTAATTTATAGTCAAAAATGTCTAATTTCAAACTTAATATGATTATTGATTATCATGATAACAATGAATATTGAGGGAAGGAAGCTTGCAGAGTAGTTAAGTGACTACCCTGCCTACTCCACGCTTATAGTTAAGACCTCAACTGTTTAAATAGTAATATCAGGAACTAAAATTATGTGTAGTACGAAATACTGAGTGTGGAATATGAAATTAAAAAGCGTGTAATGGCCTGTAATAACTATGGTAGCTCTTTTTTACACTATTGTTTCTTCATTAATTGATAAATTATTTCATGTTTCATTGGGAAATAGACATTTAAATATTAATAATTATTATTACTTATTATTAGGAGTCGGTTTTACAAGTTTTACTTATAGAATTTAGATACAGTATTTAAAATATTATAAAACAAAAATATTTCGAATAATCGATACAAATAATTATTATCAAACAATAGTTACTGAACGTATTTACCTATGTTTTTTTTAAAGAATCATTAACATAGGTATGTTGTTTCAAATTAAAAACAAAATGATATTATTGTTAATGTTTGAAAACTATTTATGATATAATCATTTTTTTAATGATAAGTATTATTAAGCCTTGTGTTTATTTATAATTAAATATTAACAATTTGGTAATTATATTAATTAGCTTTTAAAAAACATGTAATCAATCAATTTCATGTGATTGAGAGTACCTAATATTGTAGTCTGGAAAGTTTTTTCCTAGAATCGGAGATTTTTATTTTGAAATTCACTGTCTATAAATGACTACAATATAATATAATATTATTATAGTTCTTTGCATTTATTGTAATATTATGTATAATACGCGTAATTAATAATCGTACCAATATACGGACATAAATCGTTTTATTGCGATGTAGTCTATACTCTGTGGATAAAGAAAAATAGAAATGTATTACTCTATGTTTATGTGTATAGATTCAATACACTTTTTTTGGGGGGGGAGGGGAGGCAAAGCCGCCCCTCAAGGTAACTCCAAGTTTAAAATAAAATGTGTAGTACGAAAAAAAATTATATTTTAGCCTCTGAGTAATATGTTTTGAATATTATACAATTCTCACTCACAGCTCATCTCTGTATACACAATATGCTTTTGACAACTTATTATTATTCACTTTTTGATTGGGTCTGCAGGCAATACTCAAAACTAAACTATATTAAACTGGTTTAATAATATTTTTAATTTGCTTATGTCTACAGTCTACTAATTACTAAAGTAATATTTTAGATTACTATTTGAAATAGAAAATGTATATAGGAATCAATTATTTTTTATGGGAACAAATATTATACATACTTTATAGACGTTTATTTTAAATTAAAAATCAAATATAATAATAGCAAATACTATAATATTGAAACCAACATTTTTAGTGGCTCTTTAAAAATTGGGAAATTTTTTAAATGTAACTCTGTAACTGTGACTTTTGGCTCTATCATCCCAAAAGGTTGCCGATCCCTGTCCAGTGCCACAACTAGTTTTTGTTGGGCTCTGATGCTAAAAATGTAATGGGGCCTGTTTGCCTGTACTTGTAAACCAATATAATGAAAAATGTTTGTGCCACAACTAACCTTTGGTAGACCTCTAATGCAAGACAACATTTATGGCCCCCAATTTTTAGCATTTTTTCAAGCAGTATAGTACCTACTACCTGGTAATGTTGGTTATATAAGGTTCATCATATTTTTAAACACATCTCCAACAATACATCAGTTATCACTAGTCGAGTTAATTAAAAAGCAGTTAGTTTATTAAAGAAAATGTAATAGAACAATATTACATTACAATTTTATTTAAATAACAAAAAGGTGACAAGTGGGTGTCGCTCTGCTGTACAGTAGGTTACAAGTGGGTCACAGTATAATGGATGGTATTACATTTGATTTCAATGATATATCATTGTATAAGAAAAATGATTCTATGCGGAGACGGTATGTAATTCTAGGTATAATATATATTATATACTTATCTATAGTATTAAAAAAATTGACCTATAATGAATTCCAAAATAATCATATCACAATATCCATTAGGTACTTATAACACGTTATACACCAACAACAAACCCTGATACTATCATAGATATAGAGTAGTATACTTTAGAAGTTTCAAGTACCCACAAATAATATTATACAATCACAACAAAATAACTAAAATAGTTATTCTAGGTTTCTTATTATGTAATTTCTTCCAAATTTGAATTTAAAATGTCTGTAAAAAATAACTGTGTTCATATATTTTTTAGATTTTTTGGTTACAGTATGAATACTTTTTATGAGAACCTTTGTTTTGAATTTGCAATCCTTAGCTATAAAAACTGAATATTTTATAATTTATTAATTACAATGATTGATAATTTTCGAGATTTTGATAAATTTTGTCAAAATTCGATCTTTAAATGCTTATAAAAAAAAATTGTGCCTATGTATTTTAATATTTTTCAATTGCTATTGTAACAACTAACAATATATCAGGATCCTTGTATTAAATTTTTACACTTTTTGGCCCAACAGATAAAACTTATTGATATTTATAGAAAAAAAAACTAAAAAAAGGTGGGTAAGTGGATGTCGCTCTGCTGTACTGTAGGTTACAAGTGGGTCACTGTATGATGGATGGTATTAAATTTGAATTCAATGATATAATATCATTGTATAAGAAAAACGATTCTGAGCGGAGGCGGTATGTCAGTCTAGGTATAAGACATATTATATACTTATTTATGGTATTAAATTATATGGAATTTATGAATAAATTATTCATTGCCCCTTAAAATATGCACAGTCTTATCATTGAGCATACTTCTTATTCCTTATACTATGGTAGATTGTATGGATAGGCCATAATGTGTTGATTTTTCAGTTTCATATATCCCCGAATAATATTTTTAAATTACAACAAAAACCAAGATCGTTAATATTGATTTTAATATGTAATTTCGTCCAAATTTGAATTTAAAATGTCTGTAAAAAATAACTGTGTTCATATATTGCTTAGATTTTTTGGTTACAGTATGAATTATTTAAGAGAATCTTTGTTTTAAATTTTCAACTCTTAGTTATAAAAACTGAACATTTTATAATTTATTAATTACAATGTTTGATAATTTTCGAGATTTTGATAAATTTTGTCAAAATTTGATCTTTAAATGGTTATAAAAAAAAACTGTGCCTATGTATTTTTAATATTTTTCAACTGCTATTGTAACAATATACCAGGAGCCTTGTATTAAATTTTCAGACTTTTTGGCCCACCAAATAAAATTTTATTGACAATTATAAAAAAAAAAACTAAAAAAAATGAAAACTGAAAATGTCCGTAAACAGCTCAAAAAGAGTCAAAATCTTTTCAAAATTGTATGGTGTATAGGAAATGCTAATATAAACATTCAATGAAATTTTCATGTATCTACAGTTATTCGTTTTTGAATTACAACAAAATAAGGAAATCACTACATGAGAAATCGAGTGAAAATCCAATGTTGTAAAAATTTGAATTTCAAACGCTCATAAAAATTTAATTTGACTGTCCGGTAGAGATTTTTTTATTGATAAAGGTAGATAATCTTATAAGGAATCTTGTGTTTCATTTTCAAATCTTAGATTTAAAAAGAAAAATTTTTACGAATTCTTAACTCAAAATAATTTGCTAATTTTCGTGATTTTTCCATATTTTGTCAATTTTTGAACTTTAAATGCTTATAAAAAAAAATTGTGACTAAGGATTTTTAATATTTTTCATCTGTCTTTGAAACAACATATTAGGAGCCTTCTATTAAATTTTCAAGCTTTCGCAACCAACAAATAAAATTTTATTGATATTTCTAGAAAAAAAACTAAAAAAAAATGAAAAATGAAAATGTCCCTAAACAGTTCAAAATAAATCAAAATATTTTGAAAATGTTATCGTGTATAGAAAATGCAAATATAAACAACCAGTGAAAATTTCATGTATCTACGGTCATTTGTTTTAAAGTTACACCAAAAACCAAATTCGATTTTTTGGAAAATCGATTTTGGGTAAAAATTCCCGTTTTTCCTTAATTTTTATGTTGTTTTTCCCGGCGCTTGTGAAAACTACTGGAAAATGTTTACTTTTGACCCCCCAAAGTACCAACTAGATTCACTTTCCTATCAGAAAAGGTACTATTGAAGAAAATCGAAGCACTTTTACTGTCCTAAAACGTGATGACAGACACAAAAATATAAAAATATAAAAATATAAATAAAAATATAAAAACATACATCATTGTAAAACCAAT